ATGCCCTGCGCCCACCCTAAGAGAAGGCCGGCCTGCTTTCTTCGATGAGGCCTAGGCTGTGTCAATTTCCAGGCCCTGGTGGGCGCCAGACAGTTTACCAACCACCAGTTGGTTACATGGGCCCTGCTCGCGAGCATCTGAATCGTCCCTAAACCTTATAGGCCCTTCTGGGCTTGACATGGATCCAGGCCTTTCAGCCTATCACGATGCAGGAAGCAACACTGGCCACGTCGGGCAGTTGGGAGGACTCAACGTTTTGGTCCCAGGCCACTGTCTGAATAGGGCCTGGGTGCACTAGTGTTGGAAAGTGCACACAGGCACGGGAAGAGAGCGCTGGTAGAGGCAGCACAAGTACCCAGCCATAGTCGGGCTTGGGGAAGAAGAGTCAGCGGGGTTGGTGGTGGTCTTCCGTAGGGGATGCACATGGGTGGAGAAGACGAGGGTGCGCATTGAGAGGGCGAGTGAGGGCGAAGACGAGAGAGCACGTACCTAGTCGTCGCAGAGGTCTGCATGGGGGACATCTGCATGTATTTTGGTTGCTGCTGCTGACGTCAACTGGTTGCTTCGTCAATTTAGTAGGCCAGTAGAGGGGGCTGTACAATCATAGTCTAGGCGCTGAGCGCCAATAGGGAGGAAGAGCTTTGGAGACATTGTTGATGGTGGCGAGAGAGGGCTTTCATTAACAATTGGGTCGCTGTTTTGGTTTCGGTGTATTGTTGCTTTCTGGACAGCTCACGACTATCTGGCTTTCAGTGTGATGTTGTTGCAATTTGGAATTCTGTCGTTTCGATGTTGCTCATGTTCCTTTCAGGTGGCTGTTTCGAGGCAAAATTGCCAGCGTTGAGGACAACAAGCCGAGACAGAAGAAATGGGATAATTCCAGAAGTAACGTCAGCGGACATCTGGGGAGCGGAACAATGACAAACCAATTTGGACGGACACAGTAACTCGGACAGAATATCTGGGGATGCCGTACATGGTCAACACGTCTGGAGTCACAGCCTGAGTCTTCTGAGGTGCTTCCTGTTCACGACCATACTACAGATTGAGCAGAGCTGTTTCTGAAAAGAACTCCAGAAGGGAAAGGCTAACTGACAGTCAATCCTGCGCAACCCCCCCCCCCGCGAGAATAATCAATGCCAGTCAGGATTCCTTCAACCTCGATGAAAGGAAGCGTTGAGCATGTCAACCTATCCAATTCTCATTTGTCTTGACAGTGGGAAGGAACCGGACTGATGCTCCCCAGAATGGACATGATGGAGCCTGCACTGTAAGGATTGTTCAAGGAAAAAAAAAAAAAAAAAAAAAAAAAAAAAAAAAAAAAAAAAGCTCCGCCCTGTGTTGGGCCACGTGCAAATACACAAGAATCTCAAGATCAACCAAACTAGGAAAGGAACCTAAGACTTTCCGCCAAAGAGGCAGAACAGTTAACCAATCGGAAAAGTGCACTGGGATGAAAGGAAGCCCCTTCTGGGACAAGAAGAAGCCCCTTCTGGGGCATTGCATCCCACCCCAGCATGATACGGCTTACTAGCAGTACATCCATGACCCGGTGTACCCAGACAGTCAGACCCAACTCAACCCCGGGCCTTTCGGACACCTGTCAGACCTCAACCAAGCAAGAGCAAGGGCGTCTGACAGGCTCTGCGAGCTTGCAAATACACAAGAATCGGTAGAACAACCCACTTCGAATTTGGGCCACCACTTAGGGCACACCCACACACACTTTGATACCTATTTCTTACCGAATTTGAAACCAATTTCATTCAGGTCCCGTCGTATGAGTGAATGTGGTCAGATACATTGAAATGATCAAATCGTGCCAGTGTGAGTATGCCTCAATGGCACAACAGAAGTGAGTCCGATTATGGAAAGGAAATTGTGTGCAAAATACCAGGGGTTGCCAGCACCTTGTGAACTAGGAACCCGGCATGGTGCGGCTGGCTGCGGAGAACTTGACTCCAGGAGGCCCCCAGCATGGTGCAGCTGGCTGCAGATAACCTGCCCTAAAGTCATTTAAACCACCAGTACTTGGGCTCTGCGCGCCGTGCCAGCCGCACCTTTTTTGAAGCGGCGCGGGCTGTCGATACGATTTATCGACGGCCCGCCGGTAGCGAAATTCTCATAGCGTTAACGCTAAGGCGACGCCCAAGTACTGGTGGTTTAAGTGAAGTCGCACTTATGAGATTAATTTTTTTTATCATTTATGAAGATAGATTACGAAGATCAACAGCCAAAAGTGAAAAATCTCGGCTTCATGCGCGATTCAGGAGGGCCTGGCCGCATCACTCGCCAGATGCGCAAAAGACAAAAACTATGGCCGTCTATTTGTCCATGCTCTAGCAGAGGATTCATTTTCGTTTTGCACATAGTGGGAGTGGTGCGGGCAGGCCATCTTCCCCTGGAGATATTGAGCCCCCAACACTTTTCAGACGAATTCTGTAAACTTACAATGTGTTCCAAAAAAAGACATTAAAAAAACACTAACCATGTGTAGCGTACCCTCCATGTAATAATGTAATGAATAAGGAAATGTTTGGTTGATGAGGCCCACGCACAAACCTTTTTGAAATTTTGGTATTGGGAGAAGTCGTAAAACCTCCCCACGACGAAACCGTTGTATCCATTTTGTATCCATTTCCCCCCAAAGAGGGAAAAAGGTGCGGCAGGCCCCAAAATCACTTCAGGCGTCATTTTTGCACCCTGCAAAACACTTTCCTGCCATTTTTACACAGTGACGGTTACCGGCCCAGCCAGGGCGCAAAAATGACCCCAAAAGTGAATTTGGGGCCTGGGGCACTTTTTTTCCCCGTTTGGGGGGAAATGGATACAAAGGTTTCGTCGCGGGGAGGTTTTATAACTTTTTTCTTTTGTATTTCGGCACCCAATTTGGTTGATACGCCGACCCGAAACCATTTTGCATTTTGTATTTTCGCACCCAAACCTTTGCCTTTTGGCAAATAAAGATATCCCACGGGCAATACGGTATATTGTATGGAAAATCTGGCTGCCTCTTGCCCTCTTCCTACCGGATTTCGAACCTGGCTTTGTCTTTGCACCAGATTCATTTTCTGGCACGCCCTTCTTGCCACATGGGAAAAGTTCGGGCGCAAAAAAAACAAAGGGTTTGGTGTTGGCGGTTTCCACCATCCATCCCAATTAATAATAGGATAGTGGGATAGGGGGTGCTCTAGGAGTATTGACGTGAGGATGGGATGGGAGGTGGTCTCATATTCCAGGACACCCTAAGCTCGTTTTTTTTGTTTGTGCTTTTGATTCGTTTTTTCTGGTTGGGGGAATTTAGGTCACTAACTTAGGGTTGACATGACTAGTGTGATTACAGTTTTTAGTGATGAACTTTAGATCTTCTTAGTATTTTCATTTCTTAGGGATAATCTAGATTGTGATGATAACTTTTTGAGTTGCTGGGGCTGTGGAGTTGGTTGTTGAGTTGGCTGTGGGGCTAAATCTAGTGGTGTCCTCTATGTGTTTGGCCTATGATGCCTTGCCCACTGAGGGCCCCACCTAATTTTGCAAAGGACGCCAGGCCCGGTTCCCGGCTTTTATAAAAAGGGATTAAAAAAATAAAATAAAAAAAATACCGATTTCACTTTCCCGGCAGCCACCCCGTTGCTCGGACTAACGGACAATCTTCCCGACCTACGGCCAGTACAGCCTGTGTTTTTTTTTTTTTTTTTTTTTTTTTTTTTAATCCGTCCACGTGGGCATGTCTCCCTGTGTACTCTCTCCACCTTGGGCAATTGATAATTAACATAATTACTAATTAGAGTTTTGTTTTTCCCTTTTTTTTTCCTTTTTTTCTGCTTCCAGTGGAGTTGGAAGTCAGGTCTGTATCTCAAGAGTTAGGAGGTGTACCAACTGATCTACCTTCGTCCTCCGAATACAACGTACGGTCATTATAGCCGTATTTGAGGCATCTTTCAGTCTAGATACAACTATGATGACGGTACGTTGTATTCGGGAGAAGAAGGTAGGCCAGTTGGTTGGACTTCTTTTTCAGGACGAAGAAAGGAAACCCCAAATGATAGCTGTCGGGCCGTTATCCTCGGAAAAAACAAAGCTGCACGACGGTCGTTTTCCATCGTTTGTCCAACACCATGGGCCTCGCTGCACTACTCTTGAAATGTGCAAAACGAGAGTGAATCTTCCACAAGAATATGGAAAGATGCACCGCCATGATTTTTGTCTTTTGTGCATTTCAAGAGTAGTGCAGCCAGGCCCCATCACGCTTTCGAGAGTGCTGTGTGGCGAGGGGCCCGGAACTCTTGAAAACCCAACTCTTGAGAACGTCTGGCAGCTCTTGAAAAATTTCCCCGTTTCAGGGCGTTTCGAAAAATTTTCGAGAGTTGTCAGACTTTTTCAAGAGTCGAGTTTTCGAGAGTTGAGGCGCCTTCGCCACACAGCACTCTTGAAAGCGTGATGGTGTTGGACAAACGATGGAAAACGACAGTCCCGCAGCTTTGTTTTTTCCGAATGGCGTCACTATAACGGCCTGACAACTCTCGAAAATCAAGGGCCCGTCGAGTGCCCTTGGGAGGACGCTTGAAAAGAGCGGTGCTGCAGGCTGGGCGTCGACGGCGTCGAGAGGTACTCTCGAAACGAGGTTCTGACAACTCTCGAAAGAGTTTTCGGGCTACAACTCTCAAGTGGCTGTGTGGCGACGGCTCCAACTCTTGAAAACCGGTTTTCAAGAGTGGTGTGGAGAGGCCGTCAAGAGTGGTGTGGCGAGGNAAATCAGACCTGGGTCTGATGGTTGAATGGTACACACATGCAACTTTTGATAAACACATAAAGAGTTCAAGTCCTGTTTGACACTATGCTCGGGGCAAATCTCCTTTCGGAAAAGAAAGACTTGCAGTGAGTGTGAACGGTGTTTTGCAAATGAGTTGAACTGAATTCACTCCAGATTCCAAGAACCTTAATCAATTTGCTCCTTCTGAGAACAGGACTAGTTCGTGGCGAAGTTCGTAAATGCTTACCTCACCCGATGCAGGAGCCGAACTCCCCGTGCCTGCAACCAGTGATTACAATGCAATGAACCCGGCAATTGTGAGAAGCTTCCACAGCACAAACATGCAAGTAGTCTCTATAGAGTCCATACACTCGAAATGGAGCCAATCGCAATGCAGAATAAGACATGAAATACTCAATCATGTCCCAGAATAAGCAGCGAGTAACCAGAAGTGAGAGAAAGGTAGGGAAGCAGGACAGAGGAGGAGGAGGATAGTTTTTTTTAACTTTTTTTTTTTTTTTTTTTTTTTTTTTAAAACAGGGCCTTAAGGTCCTGGCTGCTTTCCATTCTGGGGAGCATCAGTCCGGTTCCTATTCCACCGGCAAGTCAAAATAGTTTTACAAATATGATATACCCACGCTTCCTTCCGTCTGGCCGAAGGAGGATAGCTTTAACTTTGGTAAGTATAACACAATTGAAACGTTTCTAATCACGCGCATTCAGCAACATCGGCGTTGAGCTTTCGCTTGTTTGCCAGCAGAATCTTTCCCAAAAAAAAAAAAAAAAGTCTCTTCAGTTCCCCTTTCACACCTCCAGGACCTTGTGGCATGCTAGAAGGCGCAGCGCGAAGTGTAAACTAATCAAGGTAGTAGGTCAGATATGCTACTAAGTAGTACAGTGGCACCTTGCCCTACCCAAACCCACTTCACGTGCCACAGAAATGGCAAGGCAATTGGCCCTTTCCTACCCCGACTAACTGTTCTGGTATAAGATTTCATTTGCTTCAAACACGCCAGGATGTTTCACAAACTCAAAAAAAAAAAAAAAAAAGTGAAAAACATTGTCCCATCCTGTATCCATTCTTTTTCCCCAGAGCTATTCAGCACTTGTCAGGACATTTTTAGATTATCCAGAAAGACCCCTAAGCTTCCACATAGTGCTGCACTCTGCATCTCGTTTGCAGAACGCTAGATCAAACTCCATCGGAGTAAAGGTGTCAACCTACCTTCTTCACCCGAATACAATGTACGGTCATTATTGCTGTACTTAGACAGGAAGATACCCCAAATACAGATATAATGACCGTACGTTGTATTCGGGTGAAGAAGGTAGTAATTCGTATTGGACGCCAGTCTGTCACCTTAAAGCCCACCTCTTGTGCATATTCCTACACTACGCCCATCTTCCCTCTCCTGCTCTGATGATATACACTAAAGAGTTTCAGGTGTTAAAGCCGAAAAAGAAGCTCGAGGCCTAAGCATTTTGACCGAGGGGAATGAGAAAGCTTGGTCATCAAAGAGAGTGCTGAATAAGCTCTACATGACCACTGAAAGAGTCTTATGCGGGTTGATCTGATGGCCAATAGGAAGAAGACAGTCCGCAAAGGTATTCAGGCCAGGTAGGGAAGGCGTTCAGACTGCATTGTTAAACATTAACAGGTGACCCAAAGGGCGACATAGTATTATTGTTTACAATTTTCAATTTTAAGAAGAAACCGCGCATTCTTTTACATGCAAGTACTGTTGTGTGTGCCCTCCCCCCAATGTCGCTCAGAAAACATCTTATGCAAGTACCAGAATGTGAGTCCACAGACACAGGCTTCAATCATCCACATTGTTATTGTGCATAAAAGCAAACTCCTGGAAATTCATATATTCACCGCACTTAGCGAACACCAATCACCAACCCACGTGTTGCTCAGTCCGAGATCTTACCTCCATGGTCAATAGCGCATCAAGCCCTTCTGCAAGGGACGCCAGCCGAACCTGATCCTGTTCCAAAAGACAGACAAGCAATGCAATCATGCAACCACCAGCAGCACCACGGCCATATTCTATTCAAACTCCATTTCCAACTTGGCCTTGTTGTCCCCCGCGATTTGGTCATTTCAAAGAATAAGAGTTTGAATTGCACTGGTCTTGTCGTTGTGAGACAGAGAAAGACGTACAACAAAACAGACGAAAAGGTAAAGGAAGCAGACGTGGTACCATAGCTGCATTATTCGGCTTCTTGTCAATGGCATGCAAAAATCTACCACCCGGTGCCTACCTCGCTGCAGTTCAGCTTGCAGTTTGTTCAACTTCCAGTCAAATCAGCTTCCAGTCAGTTCCACTTCCAGTTTAGGTCTCAGGTACTGCAAGCCCAGACACAAAACGAGAGGATTCGGCCTTGTTCCATTTACTGCTGCCTTTACAACAGACCCGTCGCATCCATAGATTCCATAACCGAAAAAGTGAACAATTCCTTATACAAATACAGAAAATGTCTAAAGGTTAGTCATAGATAAAGGTAAGATGCAAGGTCGTACATAAAGGTAAGCCAGATGCAAGGTCGAAGTTCAACAACCGTGCTCCTCTTCTCTCTCTTTCAAAAGGGGGTAGCCCCAAACATCATCTCATCCCGTCAGGATTTTAAACCACCAGTACCTGGCCCAGCTATCGGCCGCGGCGCTTCCCGTATACGCGCCGCGCCATGTGGGCTTCGGCCTGCCGGACCGCATTGGCTGGAGGCCGCAGGCAAAACGAAAAAGAAAATTGCGACGGCGGTTCGGCAGGACTTGGCGCGCAGCGTGCTGGGAGGCTCGGATTCAATAGCTGAGCGAGGTACTGGTGGTTTAACTCATGATCTGTTCACCAATTGCTACATGTGTGTATCATTCAAAAACCATGCTTCATCACTGAGTTAATGATTAGTTTTGCAGCCATCGAAACAGGTGTCCATGACTAACTTTGCAGCCATGGAAAGAGGTGTCTGTTTTTTATGCACGCGTGCCTTGCGGAAAACTCCCTTGACCAAGCATCAAAAAAGATTGTAATAGCCCTGCCAAACAAAGAGAAGACTGCAAACAACGGAAATGCGACTGCCTGGTGGCTGAATTGTACACACATGTACCTGTTGATAGACAGATCAAGAGTTCAAGCCCTGTTTGGATACAATGACATTACGGACTATCCACTTTTTTAAACAAAAAAAAGGAGAAGGCTGTGAACACTGGTTCTGTTTGTGCTAACAATCTTGAATGTGCGAACTGGACATTCATGGTCCCAACCAGCCAGCCAGCTCAAAGAACACACACCACACTTTCTCACATTTTCATTGCCACATGCGGGTTCTCAACCTGCTGAGCAAGCTGTCCAATACTCTGATTATAGCCTGACACCACGATGTGAGACGACAGATTGGACTTTTGTGCACTGTTCGACGACTTTCACCAATCTGCACTGTCGGATGGCTCATCTACAAACACAATACGCAATGATGTAAACAATGAGGGAGGAAAAAGTACACCGTAGTAATGTGTGCATAGACTGTTATTATCCTATGTGTTTCATCTGCACGGCATTTGCAGTCCAAGAACGAAGCTGCTATCCTATGTGTTTCATCTGCACTGCATTTGCAGTCCGGTAACGAAGCTGTTATCTTATGTGTTTCATCTGGCACTGCATTTGCAGTCCGAGAACGAGGCTGTCTGTGGTCTGCTGGTTGCAAAAGCCTGGCAAAGAGAGTTCGTATCATCATTTTGCCAAGATGAAACAAGGTCCTCGGTCCTGTCAAGCTTCCATAATACAAGGACTGAGCCTACCGCCTTCACCCCAATAGAACACCCGGTCATTATAGCTGCATTTGGTGCAACTTTCAGTCTAGATACGGCAATAATTACCGGGCGTTCGATTCGTGGGTGAAGACGGTAGGTGGATGCTAATGACAATAGCTAGCCAGGCTGTCTAAAAAAAAAATGTTCCCATTCTTTGCAGCACAGCTGAAGGTGAGAAGGAAAGCGGGGGGAGGAAGGAATGGGCTGGGTGAGGGAGGAGGTGGTCTATATGCCTGTGTACAGAGACTGCTCTCATACCCCTTCATGCCAAAGCGAATTTGGGAAGGAAGAACCTCGTACAGAGTTAACGTGCCCTGCAGTAAACATCATGTTTAGTCATCCATCTAACCACCTCCTGCTCAATTACACTACCCTTGGGAGCCTCACAAGCCTCACCCAATGATCGGTTGTAACTTGTCAGTGAATGCAGTGTGCACTCTACGAGTCTAGAGCGTAACAACGCCCACACTGCCCGTGTTTCACATCATTTACCTCCATTGCACAGTGACATCTCCCATGGACGGTCAGTGGCGGAGTAATTGAACCACCTGAACGTCGTCTTCCACCCAACCTTGGACGCCCGAACCGTTGCAGGGTCCGTCCTCTCACACTAACCGCCCTCGTAAACCAAACTCACCCATGGCTGGCTCATGAGCGGACGCGAGCCCCGCTCAGGCAATGGGTTCAAGCAGGCCAATCGAAGATGATGAAACCGCCATTGCCCTTTTTTGTGACCAACCTATGGGTGTGCGAGGTTTCCATGGATCGAACAAAAACTTGTGGATGCTGGATTGGCAACCCAACAAACCAGCTGAAAAGATGTAGGCAGTGTGCTAACCATGGCAGTCTCAAGAAGAGAGTGGTCACTTAACGTTTCATACAAAATAACAACCAACGCACAGAAGGGGGAAAAAAAAACAAAAAGACCCACACAGAAACACAAAAGACATCGGCAGGGACCTCTTTTTTCAAGAAAACCCTTCTACAACTCTTCCTACTTTCACCGCCGCATTCCTATCCCAAAAAATGGTTGAAAAATTATTACTAAAACCAGTTGTCAAGTCATGTGTGATGCAGTGTGATGGCTCAGGGGCTAGGAGGACCCTTTATTCCCCCCTTCCTCCTCATTTGCCATCCAATAAAAAGGAATGTCAAGAGTTCCCAGCTGATTAAAAACTTTGAATCGATGGGTATAAGGGATGAAATAGGAAAAGCAGGCATCTCCACAAGAGGCATGTTCAGTTAGTGTATATTTATGGCTCACCTACCAATAGGGAAGAGTCGCCACACAACAGAACTCGCACTCCTTCAACTTCAGGTGAAAGAACAACAGCAGAGGAACCGTCTTTTGCTCGTCTGTCTGAGCTTGATTCTACGGCGCCTGAAATATGTGGAACAATAGGCCGAGGGGGAGGGTCCCCTAAAATACACGGTTGTGCGAGCAATCCCCCTCCATGCGACTTCTGACCTCCGCCACTTCCCCCATTGCTCATTTGGTATGCCGCCTTTTCACCCGCACAAGGTCTACAATTCATTCTGTATGAAGATTCTGCAACACAAAAAGCATCCCATGCACCAATAGCATGACTGCCGTGGAAGGGATTACATCCCATCCATCCCCCTTCACCCCACCAATCACCTCCCACCTCCCACCCTTAGAAATCCACCCCAATAACCCACAGTCATACCCAAGATGACCATTGAGAGAACGCACATGAAACAGGGCCACACAACCATGAATCTAGAAACCCACAGCGTAAGGCTACACAAAGCTGACAGAAAAAAATTATGGTACACAAGCTATACTATGTATGTACCAGGTGCTCTCAAGTCACCAGCATGCACTTCCTCCCCTCCCCCTCCACACGCTCACAAGGTGAGGCCTTAACAGTTTCATTAGTGGACCCTGCCTTCGTGATGGTCATCGTTTCCATCCTTCCAGTTCTCTTCACTGATATTATTGCAGGACAGCTCAGATAGATGAGCATACGTATCAGAGGGCATGGACAACACTACATGCATTGGCACTGGCCCAGGTCATCAAAATGGATAGCCATTAGGAGGACAGGAGAACAGGAGGGTAAGGAATGTACGTGTTAAGACGCTGACTGCAACATCCAACATTTCAACAATCTCCTCAACTGGGATACTTGCTATTACTCTCTTTCAATATCACTTTTTTTTTCTTATATCTATTTGGTTACCTGAAGCTCGTGTAGAAGCATCCACCGCTGGATCTGTTATCTCCGCGGGAATTCTCCTAAAAGTTAAAATTGGGTTACTTCGGACAATAATTTGCTAAAAAGGGGGGGGGAGTAAATGGCTAGAGGGTGGGGATGCTCTAATGGAATTATGGGCTTGGCTGACGATCAATCCTTCCCAAGGGAAGAAATCAATTATCAATGCCGTTAGGGTTCCCCGGGCCGTAATGCCGGGAGGCGTGTCAAAGGGTTGTATTTGAGATTTTTTTTATTTTTTTTTTAATTTGATATTTTGACTTGCGGTGGAATAGGAACCGCACTGACGATCCCCAGAATAGAAGGAGCATGGTTCATTGACAAAAAAAAAAAAAAAAAAAAAAAAAAAAAAGGATTTGGCCGAGTGTCAAATGGACAAAATTGTTCTATTCGAGTCTAATTTCTTTCTTGTTGGTTCTTTTTCTTATTTAGTATGGGGTAGTTCCCACTGTTTGGAATGGTACCTTGTTGTCTGCCTGGAAAGCGAACAGATATGGAAGTACCAACCCATGGAAACATCCATCCCGGCCCAGTCCTCGCAACGGGACAGGGCTAGAGCCCGGCTGACTGGCTGGCCTTCCTTTAAATAAGTCCGTCCAGCCCACTCAAACAAACATCAGTGTGATGCCACAAGTGTTATGTGCGTGATTGAAACAAGATCCAACATGGCATCCACACGTTCCCATACACATGTGCAATGACAGTGACCTTTGGAGGGAGCAATCCACACCACACCAGATAAATAAGAATACACAGCGGAAGCACACAATACCGAAAATAGAATTGAAACGAAAATCAATTCTAATTACCATCTCTTCCCAAGTCAATCAACAGCATCCCAACCGCGTTATCAATACCCACAGACCAATTCTTTACAAGGTTTCATCGAAGTATCTGGGAGTCTTCTTCTTCCTCCTCTTCCTCAAGCTCTAGCTATGGTGCTTGCAAGCACCCAACCTATCAAGCCTGCCAATCGCCACACACCCTCCTAAATCCAACACCCCTCTATGCACCACTCAAGAAGCCCACTGCAGATGAAGTGTCCACTCAGCAGGGGTACTGAGCAGAGGTAGAGGGAGTGGCGCATGCCCTTCCAGGGAAGAAGAGTGTCAGTGGACGTTGAGATACTAGGCAGCTGCTCATCACGGCTGGAGGCTAGTAGGGGAACAGAAACGGGAGAGAGGTTATTTCTAGTCCACAGTTGTTGATTCTTGGCTTTCAGAGTATGGAAATAATTATGTGCAGAAGCGTGGGGAAGGAAGTGTTGACTATAGTCCCTATAGCAATTCCCCTTGGCAAGTGAACCACAAATTGTTTGAGTTGATGGGAAGCTGTAGGCGATTTGAGTTGTTTGGCAGGGACATATGTGATTGTGTCATGCTCAATGTCGACAAGGTACGTGGACCATAACAGTGTTGTCAGTTTGTCAGAGCAGGGACCATAATAGTGGTCTCTCTCTCTCTCTCTCTCTCTCTCTCTCTCTCTCTCTCTCTCTCTCTCTCTCTCTCTCTCACACACACACACACACAC